TAACAACACACGAACCGTGTTCGCAGTGCGTGCATCACAACTAAACCGATGAACTAGGTGATCAGTCTATCGAATATCCTTGGGGCACATTGTATGAATCTGACATTCGTTTGGTTTCGCCAAACTGTAGATATCTCTCGGGGAGACAGGTGATTCCCTATAATACATAGCAAACGCATTACGCGCTCCATAAACTCGTGTGTGCACTAATGATGCATTAAGTTAACAGCATGTAAACCCCGGTGTATGTACGAAACGCTTTGCATAATTGTTCATCGTGCCCCTTGGTTTGGAAAATTAACCCTCTATCGCGGAACTTTTTATCACGATGCGATTAACTCGGATTGCAGTGAGAGAGACGTCACAAATATCACAAGCTTCGCGAGCCTGCCAAAGTGAGCTTTTGTCTAAGAATACGTTTCACGATCAGCGTGTCGCTTTCGATAATATTTATGAGTCCTCGCGAAATAACTTATAGACGCGCGAATAATTGAGATTGCAAGATGGATAATTTTGGCCGTGAAGACGATAAAAGCGCTCTTTTCCAACCCCAGTAGCTAAGTGACGATAGATCAGGAACCTGGAGACGATGCGAAAAGGAGACTGAACGTGCATTCGTGCAAAATCCCTCGTTTCTCCTTCGTCAGTCTTCTCCCGCGCGAAATCGGACGACGATTTACTCCACGTCTAGCGTGACATTTGTCTCTCTCTCTCTTTCTCTCTCTTTTCCCTCCTTCTCTTTTTCTGTGACTTGTTTGCGAGCGTTGCAACCAAGAAGTCGCTGAATAAGGCAAATCGTAACATTCGCGAAAAGTACAAAATGGTTTTTCCATAAAAAATTATCCGCAGACAGACGTGATTTTGAACATACTTTTTCACAATTGGTCAAATCTTCTCTTATATACCGATAAAATGAGATCCTAACCGAAAGCTTGGCGCCGTTCCAACACGTTATTGCAACGTTTTACTTCTAACCGGGGATACCAGAAGATTGAATCTCTCGGTCCTATGGATGGAAGCTTAATTGTGGAAGTGAATTGCGAATTGCACTCTAAAATAGACTTGTGAAATTTACGTTGAATAAAAAAGAAATAATTAAAAACTTGTATATATCAAAAACGATATACATATATACGCCGAGCTTAACAGGTTTAAGCTAGTCAAAACTCATGAATATTGATAGAGCAGTCAGTTTACCGATGAAAAAAAATTCTCGTGCGCGCGAGAGAAAAGGAGAGGAGATCGTTTATATTAACGTATATAATGTCTACATCGTGATCCAACAAATGCCGACGGCAATATTGTGAATTTAAACCGTTACGGTATTCTTTACATCATATATGCGTTTGAGCGTGCATTACGGATCGACTGGCTTGTTATAACTGTCTGTGTTTTAAAAGCTCGATGGATCCATTAACGCGCGTTAATTTATTTTCGAGCTTCTATTTCCCGGAATAAATGACACCACACGCGGTAGACGCCCTCGCGACGAGTTATCGCGCATGCAGCGACAATTATCACCGCATGCGGCGATTGTGAAAGAGCGTATATATTGATCTGATGCAGCCTTTATAAACGTCGCCGGCGCGAGCCACTTTGCGGAATCTGTTCCGGCGAATCGTGGGCGCCGTTGAATAAATTATAGCCGAATAAACATATATGATAACGCGCGCGAATCCCGCACAATAGACACGGTAATCGTTAAATTGCCAATATCGCTCTAGCAACGACGGGAAATAATGGGAAAGATGGCACACCGCGACGACGGCGTGGAATACGAACGACAGATAAAACAAGTAGGTAGTAGATTGCGCCGTTGGAATAATGGTCACAATGTAAATATAATCAGCGTGGCGAGCAAATATTGCAAGCGACTCTAAATGCACTGCGCGCGTCAAGCTGAATGCAAATATCGCGTAAATTATGCTCTCCCAGTTTTAATATTAGAGCGAAATCGCAACAATACTCTTTCTTCATCCATTACTGGCTATCTGTGGATTGTTCCTATACATTATCAATTTCTATATTTGATGTTCTCAAAGTTGCATTAATATCCAATTGTGCTGGAACGAATCAATCTTCAGAAGATATTAATGGCATTTTCACGGCGGAATATTATCATTCCGGTGTATCCAAGAATACACCTGCAAAACTTTGTCACTTATTTTAGAGCCTATATGTCTCAGGAACGCCGAATAAGGGAAGCTCGATGCAGGTTGACGCGTTTTCTTTCCTTTTTTTTCCGGAAGTAATGCGGGAAAAGATCGTAAGAAGAAAAACTAGTCGTGCAAAGTAAACTCCCGTGCTTGAGATGCAAACTCGGGGGTGGTGGGTGTCTTTAAATAGTATCATTTATCGTGTTGCAGCTGGAAAGAACTAAAAGTGGAACCTTAAATGATGCCATTTATCGTCTCACAGCTGGAACGCTTACTTTGCCACGGCATACTTTAAACAATCTACGACTGGGCGCCATACGTTAGCACTTTTTTCCTTCTCCGGTGGGATAATGGGAACCAGTGGTAGGCTTTTCCGCGCGCGCGACACTTTTCTTTCTGCGAATTAAATAAATATTAAAATCCCGACAAGTTGCTTCGCATAGTAAACGATAGGAGGTACAAGCTTCTCGCGAGACAAAACAGTCCTGTGCGATTTATTCACATCGATAAAGAAATAATTAAATCAATTTCTAAAAAAAGAAAACCCAGAATCCGATAAATTGTTGCTTTTCTGGAAAAGTTTCGAACCTAAGAATAAAAACATTGCTCAAATTATTATTCAGCGGTTTTTTTTTTTTATAAAAATAAAAATAACTTGTGTCACTTTTCTAATAGGAAATCGATGCCAAAATGTGTTTGTTAATATTTTTACGTGACCCGTAAATCTGTGTGAAAAAACTGATACAGTTTGATAATTCTGCGCAATTTTGATGCAGTCAATTGTAGCATACTACTATTGAACAAGTAGTCTAATAATTTCGTAATGGACTTGGTCCATTGATGATATTCAAGTGGCGGCGAGCAGACGAGGGAACTATGACTTTTATTAAGAACGGGGATAGCGAGATGGGATATATGCGGGCAGGCGACAACAACGTAACCTTTCGCAAAGAGAGCGAGGTATATCAATGCGAAAGGCCTTCTTCCCTTACGTCGGCCCGAGAATAATTCAGTGTCACGTTCCGGGTGGAGACTACCGGGAAGCGGAAACTATATCGCGGCTATTTTACATTCTGTATTTCCCGGTTCGTTATTTATGCAAACCACCGGAATATACGATGAGAAAATGTATGTTTATGTAAATCGAGTGCACAAACGTTTACTTATGTTTCAAACGGAATCTTAATCTTTAACTAGTCTCTCCTCCCCTCCCCCCCCCTCCTCCCTCGCCCTCTCCACACGTCTCATCTCTCTCGTGTGCCGCCCCGGATATCAGCGCGCTGCGTTTGCGCCGTGCTCGCAGCGTTTGGTAACCAAACTGCATTACGGAAGGAATTACACCGAATCGCTCCTACCCCATTTTCGATCGATGTCGGCACGGTCACTTGGCGCTAACTGCCACTAAATATCGTTACCCGGCGACGCCGACCGATGTTGCGTTCTGGTGTTACGATGAGGGATAATATCCGGCAAGCTATGCGCGCGCGCGCTCGCTCACTCGCTCGCTCGGTAGAACGATAATGAATTTATTCGATTTTCGTTGCCGTAGCTCGCGTAGTAGTAGCTCGCAGTAGCTCGCAGTAGCTCGTTGCATTTATATCCATTTCTTACCGAGAGCTTGAGAGCACGGCAACGAGGTTCTTACGCACACCCCCGGCGCCCCTGTGCATAACTCACAATTAGTCTCTTCTAATGACGGCATTTTGCTAAGCACCTTGCACAATGCGTCTTTATCCAGCTATCGCGCGAAACGTAAAGCTTCGTAATAATGGCCGTTGTAATAACGAATCTAGTTTAGTGTATTTAATGTATAACACTATGTGCGCGTCGTTTTTTTTTTCGTTTGAATTCTACGAATATCACTTTACATCATTATTACAAAGAAAGCTCTTGAATGCGCTCCGCGTAAACAAAACACAATTTCACACTGCAAAAACAAATTATATTTTGCGCGAAAACTCGAGAAACGCGCGGCACACGTTTAAGAGGAGAGAATAAAACGCGTTCTTATACTCGGCTAAAAAGTTAGCGTGCTAGTAAAAGAATATGTTCACGAGAAGAGAGAGAGAGAGAGAGGGCAAGGAATACACATTATTATGTAAAAATGGGTTAACCCAGAAAAGTAGTACGGTACTGTAAT